GCTGTGGAAAACCAGGAAGCCCTGAAGGGCCAGTGCACTGGTCAGCTGAAGCCTGAGGACAGAGAGAGAGACACATATTAGATCAAATACAATGATTTAGTTTGATATTTTCAATAAAAATTAGGAATGGATCCCTGGTATCAAGTTCCCCACCAGTTTGCGGATCCTGTCCAGCACCAGGTCAATGATCTCTTTGCCGATGGTGTAGTGTCCACGGGCGTAGTTGTTGGCAGCATCCTCCTTGCCGGTGATCAGCTGCTCGGGGTGGAAGAGCTGACGGTAGGTCCCAGTGCGCACCTCATCTAAGAACACAGGTTGAGTCACTAATGACTTAAAGGGTTTGACCAAATGAAATCAAGACAACTATGGCATCTATATTCAAGAGAGTTTACCGATGACAGTGGGCTCCAAGTCCACAAAAACAGCCCTGGGGACGTGCTTTCCGGCTCCAGTCTCGCTGAAGAAGGTGTTGAAGGAATCGTCACCTCCACCGATGGCTTTGTCACTGGGCATCTGTCCGTCCGGCTGGATCCCAGTTTCCAGGCAGTAAAGCTCCCAGCAGGCATTCCCAATCTGGACACCGGCCTGACCCACGTGGATGGAGATACACTCACGCTGGGGTGCAGACAAAGAAGATTTGGATTACACAGGCTGAATCTGACGAAGGAAACAGACCTTCCAAAGCAGCTGTTGCTAATTGAAGTTGAAGAATTAAACAGGGGCCAAAATTAAAACAACTGGGCCTTTCATACGTGGATTTCTCCAGAAATCAGCATTTTTTTTCCTCCCATCCTCTAAATGAACTGCAAGATGCTGCAGATAATAACAAACGGCTTCAGATAATTCTCCCCACCTTGCATGAAAAGCATTTATTATTCCACCTCTGGTCTATTTCTGTGTTAGCTCAGTCTACCTTTCATTGTAAAGGGTGGGGTAGGGTGGGGGGATGCATTTTCTGCTGCGACATAAGACTGTGCCTATTGCGCACAGGATTACTGTAGGAAGAGAGGATTATCTAGGTCAGACATTTGCAGCGTGCTGTTTCTTTAAAAAGACACATTCACACTTCACTGAAGTTATTTTCCTATTATTTCTAATTTTTTTTATTTTATTTTATTTTATTTTTTCTATTTATTTATTTATTTCGAAATTATAGGTGGCTTTGTTTTATGTAGCACGTAGATCTGGGGAAAATCAGGGGGATTTATCATTTCTCACAAAATTATCTTTACAGCAAGAAGCAGTGGATTCTAATCTAATATATATATTTATATAAAGGCGGCATAAATGGCCAGAAAATCCGGTTGACGAACACAATGGGGTAAACGGTGTGGAACCAGTGGTCTAACGATGCTATCTAAGCTGATTTAGAAAGGGTATGCTGGAAGAGGATTACAAGTGTTTAGTGCATTGCATTCATGCATTAGACTACGTAAAAACCTGCTATTTTTATTTATTTATTTTGTCCTACAGCATTAATAAAACCCATTTAGAGTCACGAACGGCTACAGAATACAGCAGACAAAGGAGGCAGAGACAACTGGAGAAATCCCATAGGCACGACCTACTTTCCTCCCCATCCCTTCTGATACTGGATTAAGGTTAGACTCTCAAAGCAAGGCAATTGGATACACAATGCTAGAAATGAGATTTAAAATCGCACTTACCATGATGGCTTGTCGATATTATGCAATGTAATGAGACAAGCTTGAGGAGTGTTTTGTGTCTGAGATGTGCGGGTGTCTGATGATCTGCTGATGCGCCACAGTCTGCCTCTTGAGGAGGACAGGTGAAGTGCGCACATTGAAAAAAACCCCTCCTCCGTCTGCCGCAGTAACTGTTTCACACCCAGAAGCAAACCGAGATGCTGCAGTTCAGACAAAACCCCCCAAAAAAACTCATGTGGAAGATGTGTTGATGACATGATGCTGGTGTAGTTGCTGCAAGTGCATCAAATGCTGAAATAGGGGAGTTTAATTTATCCTGGTTAAATCGGGCTACATTAAATATTATGAATGGTGTTAGATGTATACTATTGACCCCGATCTGTAAATAGAACTATAACATTAACAAGAATCATTTTTGTCGCCTTTTAAATCGAGGTTGCTACTTATTGTTATACTATACTTTCTATTCCCCTTCAATAGCCTAATATTTATTTCTAATACTTTAAATTACATGCAGGAGTAGAACATACTGTATGTATGTAAAGAGATTATATACGCAAGTTGTGTGCTAGAGACAGTTTTAACAGACTTTTTGATCAAATTAGATATTTCCATATATATAGACATCAATTACAAAAACAGAAAATATGAAAAAAAAATTAAAATGTCAAACCTTTAAACCAAATTTGTAGAAATACACAATTGATGTCTTGTGTATTTTATTTTTCAAGAATCTACAGAAGCCCTGAAAGTTTTTTTTTCACATGTGAAAACTAGTGAGTTTTTTTCCTTTTGTTTGTAGTTGTAGTACTCATTTTCGCCACCATCCCATGTTCTAAACAGGAAGGTGAGTTTTAATTTTCCATACACTTTAAACACAAGGTACATATAGTCTGTTAGCAAGTTATGTAACTGTCATTATCTTTTGCCAATAAAATGTATTTTAAGGGACCAGTGTGTAGGATTTAGTGGTAAAGTAGCAGATTGCAACTATAACTGAACACTGCTCACATCTGTGTTTGACTAACAATTGGCAGTGGATTACAGTTTTGACTTATCACGAGTTTTTATTATTTCCATCATGCATGAGGCATAAGTTTGGAGGTATTTGTTGACAGAAATCCCCCCCCTCCCCTCCCCACCTGTCCTGTTACTCACTGGACTCTTGCACTGCTGCCTTCACGCTCACAACCGGGTCGGAACTTTGACAACCACGAGCACGATCCCACATGAAAAGTAGCAAATGTATCTGATATGAGGTCATGTGACACTTTGTAGCGTTTATGTGAAAACCAAATATGGTGCATTAAACACAACAACGTACGGCCACTTAACTAAACAACAAATACTACACCTTGTGGACTTTTTCTTGGTCATTTCCTTTACGGTCAATGCGGTACGCAATGTTACGAGCTTACGAGGAAACATTTAAGGTGTCAGCAGAAGTGAGTCCCACCACAACTCACAGTGCTCCACATTGCACGAATAAGTGTCAGCAAGTATGTTTTCGCTTTGGAGAAACGTGAACGTAACTCGCAGTGTTATTTCTACGTCTTACAATGGGACTGCAGCGGACTTCCTCTTCTCTCTACGAGCAGCTGTGACTGTCTGCACACATCCCAACAGGAAGTCCTCAGGGAAACGCTACAATGTGCCCCAGAGCGCCGAGTTTGTTGCGAGGGTGTCAGGGATCCCCACCATGGCCAAGTTGCCCTACCAGGAGACAGCGGACGGGCTTGATGCGGCGTTTATCGGCGTCCCCATTGATACCGGGACCTCCAACCGACCTGGAGCCAGGTGGAGTTTCTCTCTGCAGCTGCTGTCAAACAGAGTGGGCTTGTTGCTGCTGGCTGTGAGAAGAGAGAGTAGAGAGTGTAGCTGCAACAAGAGTCATTATTACATTACTCTTTTTTAACAGTAGCACAACCACAGCTATTATTACTGAAGTAAAAGTACTAATACCACACAAAAAATATTAGATTACAAGTAGAAGAGTCCTGCATTTAATTTCTAAATTAAGTATGTGAGAATGAAAATGTACCTAAAGTATTAAAAGTACTCAACGCAAAATATTAGACAGCATTGGGCAGTAACTTATTACTATTAATAATACTTTATCTTGTAACTAGTAGTGTAACTAATTACTGATACATTTAAGTAATATTACAGTTACCACCCAAAAAATATTAGTTACAAGTCCAATCACTTCTTTGGATTCATTGTTTGTCATTGTGGAGGAAAGTAGCTTGGAAGGTGGAAATATTCCATTACTTTGATTTTAACTAACAAAACTTTAATCGTTATGAGTCAGAATTTTGGGGAGAAATTACACAATTACCAATTTTTGGGAGGAATAGCAGAAAAGTAATTTAACTAGTAGTGTAACTAATTACTGTTGGCAGGGAGTAATAAGTAAAGTAATGCTATTACTTTTGAAAAGAGTAATCAGTAATACATTTTTTGAGTAACTAGCCCAACACTGTTATTCGATCATTATTAGTAAAGCATTAATGTAAAAGCAGCATTTTTTCTGCTGTAGTTGGTTTAAATGGAGCTACTTTTAAAGACCTGGGAACAAACATGTATGTCTGATTATTTCCACATTGAAATCCATCTCCTCCATCTCCAGAAATTGTATTCTTTCTAAGTTTTCCTGCTGGATACAAGATTGCTCCTGCTTCACTGTATGTGCACTGGCAACTTCAAGTTTCTTCATCACACAGTTGCCTACTAGACCAGGATTGACTTTCAGCTCTACTTGTATATACTGATGGGTACTTTAATTTTTATCAAAGCCACATATTTTATAAGCTCTATATATGTTAAGTAATTTGCAACCCAATGTTGTCAAATGAACGTTAAAAAAGTACAATATTTCCCTCTGAAAGTAAGAAGTAAAGTACCTCAAATTTGTACTTAGTACTTGAGTAAATCTACTTACCGTAGTCACATTCCACCACTGTAATTCTCATGGTTGTAAAGATAAATTCAAACATAATTCATAAGGACAATAATTCTAAATAGATATATGAGTCAGATGAACATGATTTGTATGTGAAAAGTAACTATTAGCTACTTCTATCAGTTCCTCTCAAAATGTACAAATGTAGTGCAGAGTGTCAAGTGGCGTAAAATGGAAATACTCAATGTACTCAACTGTAATAATAACAGTCCAAAGCCAGTTTGCGTCACAGCTACACTGAAATGAAATGTATTCCCTCCACTACCACAGGTTTGGTCCCCGGCAGATCAGAGTGGAATCTGCCATGCTGAGAGCTTACAACAGTGGCACCAGGGCTGCACCGTACGAGTCCCTCATGGTGGCTGATATTGGGGACGTCAATGTGAATGTGTACGACCTGAAGGACACCTGCAAACGCATCAGGGAGGCCTACAGAAAGATCCTGGCTACTGGCTGTATACCTCTGACTATGGGTGAGAGTGACCGGCGGTGTTTACATAGTTTTCTTTTCACTTTCTAGACAGGTCAAGATAGCTCAGTAATTGTTTTATTACAATCAAACCAAGCTTTGCTATGTCTGTACAATTATTAGCCATTCAAATGGCCTTATAAACTGTAGCTCATGTTCGATCAAAGGTCAGACGTTAAGGAGTTCTTTGTGTCTGCAGGTGGCGATCACACAATCGCATATCCAATCCTGCAGGCTGTTGCTGAAAAGTAAGTAGGCCATGATTCACACCTGTAAATCCTGACCAAGTTACCAAATCATCAATTGGTCAGTTATCAGAATTGTTGCTGATTAACCTTCTTCGGCTCCAGTAACTAATGAATTGTTTCAGATCTAAAGCAGATATTTTCATATACACGTTGTTATGCATTAGTGATATTATTCTGCTCCATGATCAACTGTTTGGCTTTTTGCTTGTTTGTAGATGTCTGCCTACCCATGACAAATCAATCATTATCTAATTTCTAGGCTAAAACCTAAACAAATTCACATCTACATTAACTACCTCTTAACCAGTTCAAACACACTCGATCTATTTGGTAATAATTTGCCAGGCATGGCCCTGTGGGTCTGGTCCATGTGGATGCTCATGCGGACACCAGTGATGTGGTCTTGGGGGAGAAGATTGGACACGGGACTCCATTCAGACGTTGTGTGGAGGAGGGGCTACTGGACTGCAAGAGAGTGGTCCAGATCGGCCTGCGCGGTTCAGGCTACTCTGCAGATTCATATGAATGGAGCCGGGCACAGGTACCTACTACCTACTACTGCTAGAATACTGGATGTGACATAAAGCAATGGCTCAGACGAATGCCAACAGTCTGGTTTTACTGCATAGCCCAATCAAAGTAGTGAGATGTAAATAAGCCAAGTATGACATGTGGGGCATTTTCTGCTGTTGGGAAGTAATAATGTTGCATATTGTCCCCTTTGAAGCAAAAACTAAGGATTGTCTTTGAACCAGCAGCGCTAACTTGTACATTGTTCAGGGTTTCCGTGTGGTGCAAGTGGAAGAGTGTTGGTTCAAATCTCTTGCACCTCTGATGGCTGAGGTCAGGGCTCAGATGGGCAGTGGTCCAGTGTATCTCAGTTTCGACATCGATGCTCTTGACCCGGGCTTTGCCCCTGGAACAGGCACACCAGAGATAGCAGGACTTACTCCCATACAGGTAAACATGGAGGAACAGACTTTAATCCTCCTCTATGAGTTTAATCTGACACAACCATGTCATATTGCAAGTCGCATAAAGGATTTACTTCACTACTGTACAATAACATGTAATATGGGAGGTTTTTCAAGAGCATGTTCTGTACTTATTTATCGTCTCTTTGAATATTGATATATTTTTATTATCTGTGTTGGCTCTAGGGAGTTGAGATTATTCGGGGCTGTCGTGGTCTAAACCTTGTTGGATGTGATCTAGTGGAGGTGTCTCCAGCCTATGACACCACAGGTACTTTTCACACTTTACTTTTCATCAAATCAGTTTTTTTTAAATACAACCATTATTTATATATATTTTTTTTCCTCAACAGGGAATACTGCACTGACTGGTGCCAACCTCCTTTTTGAAATGTTGTGCGTCCTCCCAAAAATTAAATACCTGTGAGGTAGCAGGCTGTCCTGCTGAATAAACCAGTGAGGAGGGCAAATCCTGCAACAATTACAATTTAATGTTTTAATCATTAAACATTAATAATTGTATTACATCCATCCAGATGATAAATCCAAGCATGGTTCTCGTGTTGGAGAGCGTCAGCTTGTATACCGTGTTCTGGTGTACTAATAACAATGTAAAACTAGGTGACGTGTTGTACTTTCAGGTTGATGTATGTTGTGTGTTGACAATCCAAGAAAGATACATGTGAAGAAAAAAACTAAATGATAAATGCACACAATGTACACAAAGTTGTAAATGAAATTTGGATTCAAACAAACACAAAACTCAACCACAACAATCTTGATAAATCCATGTAAAATATTCTCCTTATCTTTAAAGTTACATACCATCAGGTCCTGACATGATTATGTACAATGTTTACAACTCTAAATACCAACAGAATTATATTAATTACATTTTTACAGTCATGTTGACTAAACAAATAAATAAATCAAGCACACAAAGTTTGACTTTATTTTCATGTATTTGTCATGTCACATACTTCTTGCCGTTTGGAAAACATTCAGAACTTGAAATTGATGGAGTTATGTTTACTACATACAATATATCGAGCCTATACATATATATTACAAATGTAGCAAACATTTATATAGAACGGGCAGGCAGCTGTTTTGACATATATGAGTGTACCTGTGGTTGTGGTGGGTACTGCACTTTCCTCACAAGAAGATCTCTGAAAAGAATTACTGAAAAACCACTAAAAAGAAAAGCTGAGGGTCTCTTACTTCCTTTGTCTATGGTTCTAGCATGAACAACATAACCATAGTGAATAATTAGATCCAACTGGGTGAAGAGACATGTCATCTTTCTTTACTCAAGCTCCCTATTGTTGTGATTTAAGTCAACTGGCCTACATAGCCTTAAGTACAAGCAGTCCTTATAAGCAAAACCAGCTATGAAGATGTAGAGATAAAATATTAAATGTTTGTGTTAGTAATGCAGTTACTGTGTCAGTGGCACCTAAGATATATGCAAAATGCAGTGCTTTAATGCCTGACCTGACAAAGGTCTGGCAGAGACTGAAATGTTCATGGTTTTGAGTTAGTGTTCAGGCATTACACTTTTCATTAAAGCTAATTTCCAGTAGCCTTGCACCTACAAGTGATGTGGTACAACTTTTAAAATGCCTATACTATGGCTGCACGATGGTAAAAAAAACATCTTATTGCGATTATTTTGACAGATATTGCGATTGCTAAATGATTCATGATTAGTGTGGGAGTGATCATCTTTGCATCACAAATGTAATTTTCAATAAAAAAATTCATGAAGATGTGATTTGTTGGAGTCTGTAGATTTGCAGGCCAGAGCATCTCTTCAGCACTGCCGTACTTCACACATTTTACCTTTATCAAAAATGTTTATCTTCCTGCTATTTACATATTGCACTTGACCATATTGTGATTTTGATAATATTGTGATTAATTGTGCAGCCTCAGTCGGTACACTGTTTTACTTTGGATATTCACCCACTCCATACGTCTCTAAGGGAGTTCTAGTACAAACGGCCCCTTGGCCTCTTTTGCCACAGCATTATGAAAAAACTTCATTTTGCCAGAGATGACTTTTAAGTATTGATGGGGTCATATGAGCGCCAAGGTGACTGGCTACCCATCTCTCATCTACCCAAGACAGGATATCTACAAACACACACACATCAACCTTTTCAATTTACATAGAGGACAAGGCTGCTGAATAATTGTGGATGATTTACAGACTCTCCATCTCCTACACCACCTGTTTCCAAACAGGCTGGATATGTAAGCAGTTGACGCACCAGTCAGAGGAGATCTTTATCAGGTATGGTTTCTTGTAGCCGTTGGCGGATGTAATGTGTGCTTGCTGTCAGCCAAGTCCCTCTGGTTCTTGCTTTAGGAAGGAAAGTTGAAGAAAGACTTGTGGCAATGACTGCTGAATGTCACAAGTCAGTTGGCACGTTGTCTTTATTGGATAAAATATAAATGTTGAGTAGAACAGAAATCAATATGAGACATCCTCTTCTTGTGCATATGTTTTGGGGATTTTGGCACAATGTAAAACTAAAGATCGCACATTACTTGCACAGCAGGTTGCTGAATAACAATTAAATGACTGACCTTTTAAGACTTAGTAATCTTGATGAAATGTTTCACTGGACAAGAAGGGTATGGAAAATTATATATATATATATATATAAGGAACTAAAGCTGTCAGACAAATGTAGTAAATTTCCTTTGAGATGTAGTATAATGTATAAAATATAAATATTCAAGTAAAGTACCTCGAATTTGTATTTAAATACATTACTAGACATGATTCATAGTAAATGTATTTAGAAAATATATGAAACGTGTAGCTAATCTAAGGTTGTTCATAGCTCCAAAGTATTTCCACAACATAGCATTGTTATGGTAAAAACCAGGTAACTAAATATGTTGAACGTAATTTGGCAAGCTAATTGAGTGGCAGCAGCAAGCGGCGAATTAAATCAAACGTACCCTGTTGCGTGCTCTGCAGTTGACCAATCACAGCAGGCGGCGATGTAAACACGGAAGTACTAACTCAGCATCGTACACATACACGAAACGAAAAGCAGACTTCTAATATTTGTCCACCAACAAGACATTATGTCACTTTCACAAACGTGTAAAACATTTTAGGTCACCGACTGACTGACATGTTAAGAGTTACATAATAATAAAGTTAGTTCAAGCCTTTACGGTAATTCCTCTGTCTACTTTGAATGGAGGACAACAAAATGAGTCCAGTCTCTATGGCACCCACACCTACCACTGTCTCACACCAATGCTATGGTATATGTATTATTAATAATCATAGCTGGCTCTAAAGTTAGTCTATGGTTAGAATATAAAAATATCAAAAGTAAGATAAATATCAGAAGTATAATGTTTTAATGTTTTAAGGAATACAATCATAAAAAAGGTGACAAGTTAAAAGCAAAAAATAATCAGTATCAAGTATTTAAATTGTGTGTGTGTGTGTGTGTGTGTGACCTAGAATCCTATTAAATCCATTCGGTGTCACCATTCATCCTTGTTGTCCTTGTTTTTTAGCTGCATGTCCATTTCCTGTAAACTGTTTTTGGAACTGTGTGTCACACTGAGAGCAACCTAAAACCGGAGTCAAATTACACATACGTGGTCAAAAAAGATGAATCTAATGCACATATTTTGTCAGTAATTTGGCCTGCATCAGAGCATACTAAACTGCTGGCAAATGCATATAATATTTTGTTTATTATTTTGAATATAGTATAAGTTCTGCCCCCAAGACTCAGATCCTATGAAAGCCCCTTTTGTAATATGATCACTCATTATGGTGTGATTTGTTACTCATCAATGTGATCTTTATCTGTTTAAAATCCAGAGCACAATGGGATCATATTCAGGTAAGCACCATTTATTGTGAATAAACTCACAACCGACAGAAAGACAAAGGCTTCTGTTGTAGAGAATGCAATTCAAAATACTTTATTCAAGCCAAGCGAGCACGTAACCAGAAGTACACATAGACAATGTCTATACACACATAAACAACTCATCTAAAAATACAAATATGACCCATGCTGTACACAGGGATAAGGTCAAAAGTGCAGGTGCAATAATCAGTCTATACACAAGGTGAACTGACCTTTTTTGTACAATGCCTGTACACAAATCTAATGGACTCTGCAATTCTGCTTTGTTTAACCTTAAATTATGTATTATATGTAACTATAAAATTAATAATTGCCTAAGTGGAGCAGTGTCTTCATCATAAACCACATGGCTAGCTGGAGAAAAGATTTACAGCACATGAACTGGCAGCTTTACCTAAGAAGGAATATTCCCAAGATGACTGCTTTATGGTTATCATGCTGTCTCATGGTACTGAGGGAAGACTTTTGCCTAAGAGCAATCCATAATGATTGCAATAAAGAGAGCCATTCACAATAAATGCTGTTACATCATCTGGCACGTTCCAAAGTCTATGTCATTGTGGTTATCTCAGCTTGAGCACGGAGACTACGAATGTATAAAAAAAGGTCTGCTTAGGTCTGCAAACTGGGGACAGAGAAAAGCAGAAGTGAAAGACATGCATATTTATCTGGCAGGAAAGGTCTAACAAATAACACTACAAGTGTAGGAACTAGTCTTTTGGGGCTTTTGGACACATAATAGGGACTATATGGTCCCTTGTATCCACCTCATGGAGAAGTAATTTTACTCTTTGGTGTAATGTCCTTTCTCACTCCAGTAGAGGGCACTTAATGCTCAAGTGTACTGTGTTTGGCTACAGAGACCTCTTTTAATTAAGTCTACTTCAATAGTCTTTTAATTAACAGCAGCATTCCATTTAAAGGAATGGAAGGAAGAATGGAAGGATTTTGACAAATATTTGATTTGAGGGCATAAAAAGTTCAATTAAAATAATATCTAGTCTTCTCTGTTTAACTCTGCTGCATTGTTTTGGACCATTCTCTCTTAAACATTCCTCAGGAAAGTCCCTCAACTTTATAGGAGTGCAATACTAAATTGCTGGAGCATTCATAAAATGTATTCCATCCACTGACGTAACACTAATGTAATAAAATCCCCCCCCCCCCCTCTCTCTGACCTTCTCAATTTCATATCCAGATGAGTTATAATTCCTAATGTATGCTTGTGTGTATGTGTTTATAGGTGACTCACTCGGTTGCATCCCCGGTGACGTGGATGTGGACGAACAGCATGTCCCAGATCAGCACATCTGTAGTGGAGGAAGCTTACAAAAAACAAAAAGTAATGAAGACAATACAGACTAGAGTGACAGTAGTCTGGCAATAGAGAGGGGCAGACCTGGCTGTGCTGTCTGATGAGGGAACTGCTGAAACAGAATTACACTATTTCCCACAATGTCACAATTCTAGAAACATTAAGGAGGAATTCTTTCCGAAATTTGAAAAATGATTCCCTGTATTCCAAAGTTTAACAGAAAGGGAGAAATGACCCCTCAATCTGGGGGGAAAGAAAGAATGTGCAGTGTTGACTGCCAAATCTGTCACTTCCTGCCACAAAAGAACAGCCAACCAGTTGGATAAAGATACATAGGCAGTTATAAATATTATATTCTTCTTCCTGCCACCATCTCCCTTTCTTTGATTGTTTGTTTTCTTCTGTTGTCACACTGAAATGTTCCATTAAATTGATCTGTTTCATTATCTAGTTATTTCCTTAACTTTTTCTATTCACATTGTTTTTGTTAATTTCATTAACATTGTTATTATAGTAGTTGTGCTTTGGCAACGTGTCAAATGGCATGCCAATTAAGCCTATAGAAATTAATTGAATTGAATAAAACGTGTAAAATACATTAGCTAATCCTACTGACAGCATTTGTTTTGAAATTTGTTTTCTTTGAGGTAAAAGAGACATCATGTTTTGAGGTTTCCCCCTGATGAGGATACGCTATCCATTAATGGAACAGACGCATGTCACTGCGATGTCATCCAGCAGCAACTGTCTGAGCGCGTCCCATGAACTGGAGAGAGCCATCCAGCTCACCCCGAGTGACACTCTGGTGTCCTAGTCAACCTTTCCTGGCATGTTTGTGTTTGAATGTGTGTATGCGTGCATTGTGTTCATTCATCTGTATGTATTTTGGTTAATGCTGGCACAGTCTTTGGGAATCAAGTCACAGCTATAGATAGACATGACATTTTATGTATGTCTTCCCATTGGCTCTTTGACCATGTGACAAACACAGGCTAAGTGTCTTGGAGAGATTCAGAGTCAGGCTCCTGATACATCAAGACACTGGACTGTATGTTTGAGAAAGATGCTGCCACAAGTGACTTGATGACTTAGTTATGATAGTGAGCTCCTCTCATTATACCGGCATCATTAGTTAGAGCCCAACTGAACCTTCTTGACTATAGCACTTTTTATTTTACACATCTGATTGTTGACTGTGCTCATCTCCGGGTTAATCATGAAGTCTCCCAAAGCTCTGCAAAGAACTTTACAAGAAAATGCCAACTTGTCAGTAATCACTCGCATTTTCAGGTAATGAGTCAGTTTCACCTCATAGGTTGTGATTGGAATTTTCTTGGATTATGTCTTTTGTCAACTTTTTTGGTTTTTGATACATAGTAGCTATCCATTTTCATTCAAGAAAATTAATTAGTTAATGAAATGTGTATTTGTGGAGAAAATGAGGGTGAGGCAAGGACAGATATGACCCATATAAGAGTTAAATAAAAAAAATAGGGGGTGTCCTGTGTGTCCTGTACCACAGTCCAAGGGCGTTGAGCCCCACAGAGAGCGGAAGCATTTCATATTCTTTGGCTGATCTGTTGCTCATTGTCACAGCTGTTTTCTACAGCTGCACAGTCCAGCTCCAGTTGACAACACACTCTGTGCTACAGTTATTCTAATGTAATACACAGAGCTAGCCAGCGCTACAGTGAGTCATCTGACATCTTCACCACCATACCTCATGTCTGAATCTAATAACTTGTACAGAGTGCAAACACAGCAATAAAACTGGGAGTCAGTCAGATATAGCTTGTGCTCATAGACCATTCCATAACTTAAGATTATGCAGGATCAGCTGGATAAAGTTGTCTCTCAGTAGTGACATAAAGCTGTTAATAAGCCTGACATTAATATCAGGATTTGATAATTTGCTTCTATAATTTATTCAGCTCTCTACCCCAACATAAATCCCTTGCCAGCTGTGTGAAGTCTCTCTGAAACCAGAGAAAAATTAGACAAACAGCTTTTGTTATGTTTAGTTATGTCTTACATTGTTCTGAACATATACTTCATACACTGTAAGCAAGCCGTGTACTTTTTGAGACTCCAAACTCCAAACACTAATAGATGGTGTTTGTAAGCCACAGAGGACTTGGTCATTGTTGGCGACACACAAGTGGAGGATGCCGCGGTATCCTGAACATTCTGTTGAATGGTGCATTGGTTTTGGGAGCTATAATAATGGGTTGAGACCGTTTATACTAAACATGTTTGACACAACTTTTCCAGTACTTTTCTGCAGACAAGAGGCAAGGGAGGAGTCCTTAAATCACAGCACTGTGGTCAGTGAGATGCTTCTAGTATGCATTCACAGTCAAAGAACAGAAATGATCTCTTTGTGGCATTCAAGAAGAGTCCAAAGAGCAAGGGAACAAACTTCTGCCCTGAGGCCTGCAGTTTACTTGTGATTCAGCCTCTGAGAAGGAGCTTGTCAACTAAAAAAGCTCAACCTCCCATCCTATTTGTCTTGTGAACCCTAAAAAAACATGCAATCCTTTCTTACCCCTTGCATATGTCTACCAGTTGTGACCAGCCAAACGTAAAGATTTCAATAATTATAGAAAAATGCTCTTGGAAACAGAAAATGATCCATCATATTATAAGAAAAATGTGAAAATAAGTGGAGCTTTGGGTGGCAGATAATAGTTTTCTTTTGCTTTTCTCTCTTATTAATCATAAGACCCACAAGATTTATCTTGCGAACCCTAGCAGAGCCTTCACCAATTCCGTGCTGTTGGCATGTGGAGTACCTGTCTAATCCTCTATGGCTTCTCCTTGTCATGTTTTGGGCGAGTCTGAATTTTACACATGCCACCCTCATTTAGCCCTCATGTTACAGTATCCACCACCCACCTGGCTAATCACATTTTCTTCTTTTTCGTTTTTAATGTTTCCTTTTTATTATGCAGCTATCATCCAGGACACTGAATTAAATTTGAATTGTAAGATTTCTTTTTACATCTTACTACTAATTTAAGCTTTAAATTTTACAAATTTTTGTAATCTAATTAGACTGTAAAATTTAGAAGAAAAAAATAAAAGTGCTGCATTCATAACATACCAACAAACTTGATAAGCCCATGCTGTTTATTTCCCTTTTAGACTATTTTGGGGAGCAAATGAGAACATTTCTATTCAGGGTTCAGCTTTTAATTGGCAGCAGCTGTTCTCTCAAATCTCTGAGTGTTAAAGTATGCTCTTTACAGTAATTACATGAATGGACACAAAGATAGTCTTACTCACAGCTCCTGACTTCAGTCCTGATAACATATTTCTGTGTGTGTCTTATATTTAGGACATGTCTCTGAGGGGACAGCAAGACAGGACAGTTCATTATGTTTCTATTTTTACTTGATGATTGAGTTGGTCCTTTGTATGGAGAAGTCATTTTTGTCTTAGGTGTAATTCCCCTTCTTCCTCCACCAGAGGGCACTTAATCCTCAAGTATGCTGTGTTAAGACTGCGAGTCTGCAACAGTAGTTCTATTTTCTACCAAAAATAAGACATTCTCAGTCTTTTAATGACCAGGAGCTTTCCATAAAAAGACATTTAATTGGCATTCATTTATTAAGTAATAAGTAATAAAGATTAGCGTGTTTCAGGAATGCCAGTAAGGACTTTAAAAAATATGTGTCTTGAGGGCATGAAAAGCACACATGTGAAGCAGGTTTATTGTCCAATCCAAGAGAAAGCACAGATCTCTGAGGATTACATGTAGTCTTTGTTTATCGTTTATAAAATACATATGATGCACCATAAAATCAATAATCGGACAATGCTGTCTTCCAAAATGTAGTGAAGTACCCAAACCTCAAAGTTTTACTTAAGTAAATGTACTTAGTTACTTCCCACCACTGCATATCTACACATAGTAAATATAAAACCTTTAAAATGATCACTCATAGAAACTCAATGAGTACTTTTACTTGTGATACTTTTGCTGCTGTGCTTTTACTCTGAAATTATGAATGCGTGACTTTTTCTTACTTTATCCTTACTAATACTTCCACTACTGCCACAAACTCCACATTCAGAGCCGCAGACAGACTTTAGCTGATATGATAGGAACACTACAATGCATATTTTCTCAGGAGGATCCACGCGTGAGGAGAGTGTGGTCATGTAAAGAGCGATCATGGCTCTACTAGGTGGCGTCTCCCCACACTGGGATTAGCTGTCTTCTCTTTCAGCACTCCCTGAATTCCATTCCGCCTTTTACTTTTCCGGCAGCTCTCTCTTTCTCTCCCTCTCTCCCCCTCTCTCTCTCTCTTTGCTCTATCCCAGCACAGGACTTCTCAGTGACTTTGCAAAGGCTGCATTTAGCCCACAACAAGTCCCAAGTTTCGGAGCGCACAGGAGGAGAAGCAAGTTTGGAGAGCCGAGTCGATATATTTCCCAGCAGGCACGAAATAAAAACTAGAATACAAATACATTAAAAAAAAAAAACCAAACAAGCGCGAAAAAGGATCCGTGTTACCTGTTGATGAAGTCCCACCGGGTGTGGGACGCAGAGGAGCAGCCGGGTGCCTTCACGCAGAAGAAAAGTCTGAAAAGGGTGCAGACATCTCCGCACTCCAGAGCCCAGGAGGAGTGAAGGACCGCGGGTTTTCCTTTTCCCCCAGCATTCTGCAGCCTGTGCTGGGTTGGTGGAAAATGGGCACCACTTCGATCTGTGGACTTATCCTGTCTTTGATACTCACATGCCAGCTGGTCACTGTAAGTGAGCCCCAACTTTCTCTTTACTCGCTCTGTTCACTTTTTAAACTCTCCACTGTGGGTTTGATGATTCATTCACTCTTAAAAAACAGACCTGTAAAAGCATGTATCCCCCCAAACCCCCCAGAGGTCAAGCCAAAGTTACAAATCAGTGCTTTTATGTCCTATTAAAGGCACAAAAAGAGAGGAGGTATGGGTTGATGGTGCTATTTATGCTCAGTAAATAGTGTGGTCTGCTGGTGCAGGGCTGCTCGCATGCAAGTGGGGCTGTATAACAGATTCCAGCCCACACAGTCATATCAGGGTGTACTGTAAAGATGCTTTTAAAAGTAATATGACAAACTAGAACCTGCTGTTGAGTGAAGCTGGGCTAAGTTTGTCCATAGAAACAAGCTATTCATAGTCTCCCTGGAGTCCTGGACTCCTAAACCTTCTCAAACTTAGTCAGGCCACTGTTTGGATTGCCTACAGTGGCTCTTTTTTTCCTGCTATTACATTTGAATGGAGTTGCAAAACATATATGAAAATGTGGATTTATTATTAGTATGTGTTTGTCCTTTGTGTCAGAACAGATTTCTTCTTTGTCCTTCTTTATGAAGCAGTGCTGGAAATCCTTCAGAATAAAAGTTGGGACTCATATGCAAAATATAGGCTTTAGGTTGTAAAAAATAGAATAAAAAAGTAAACAAGTGTTGAATCCACTTGTCCCTTCCATTCCCTGCAGTTGGGATAATGCACCGTATTGGGAATTTCTTGCAAAGTTGCATCCTCTGGTTTTATTCATTCAGCCTTTATTACCGTGCAGTATACTGTACAGGGCTGCAACCAAATTTATTTTTATTATTGATTATTATTGTCATTATTGATTATTTTTTAAATAATTTGATTAATAATTTAGTCCATAAAATGCCTCAGGGGCAAAATGCTTGTTTTAGCCAAAAATGGCTAAAACCCCAAATATTAATATTAATAATTTATTGTACAGTGATATACAACAGGAAACAGCAGCAAATCCTCACATTTGAGAAGCTGAAAACATTTAATAAATGACTTTACCGCTTAATTAATTATCAATATTGTTGCAGATTAGCTTTCTGTCTGTCAACTGATCAATTAATTGTCTCAGCTCCAATGTACTGCCCATGCACTGTTGGGTATTTACTAATTAATTAATGATATTTCAGTCTGAAATATGTTTTACTCTGCTATATCCGTAGTATGAATCATATAGAGGATAAACATTGCCTTGCTGCTGAGAATAGACCCCCAGCCCCCCCACCCTCCAGAAATCCCGTCTGGTCTCTCACCTTTATGCCCTCCAATAAACAGAGCTGTCATGGTTGAGATATCTGTGACTCCTCTGTGTTGATTTGATCTGAAGCAAAGCCTTTTTGAATGATGGGACATAGTTGCGGGAGCTAGCAGACATAAATCTTTCACCTGCTGGATATAGAGTATATGAGCTGTAATATTCCAGACGTTTGAAAAGCTATAGTGTTGATGACTTCAAGGTATATTTAACATCCAGCGGTGACATGCTATCGAGCTCCGAGCCTTTTCTGTGGATGACATGATCCATCACTTTGTACCGGTTCACAAAGCTGAGACAAAAGGTGCATTACCTGCATCCTGAAAGGCAACGCAAGTCATGTATCTTCAATATTATCGATCCACAACCCCCAGTCCCCAGAGAGCAAACGTTGTGTGTTGTGCAGTGACACTGGAAGGTAATAGGAGATGGCCTCCACACTGTAACCACAGCCTTGATTGACTGCGAGGCCAACAATACCAACATAATTGAATTATCTGGAACCACTAGCATCTGTTTCTTGCATCATGCCTTTGAACTACAACAGGCGGACTGTCTCTTGATTCAATTAAGCACACGTACTGGTGTTACTACGGGGGCCTCCTTTCTCCCCACTGGAATGTCAGGGTCATGCGCATCAACTCAAACAATCAAAGTCAATAAAAACTCACCGTGGGTAAGAGCTCTCCACCACAAATGAGTCCCCCACAACCTGCTGTGAACCACCAGCGGTACCAGTGTGAGAAATGATTCAACTCAAGTTTTTACAGCTTAATATTCAATAAAAGCTGTAAATACTTCTACTCTCAAATCTGTTCTGGCTCATATTAGTGTTTTACAAGTGAAAATGAATTGATATGGTCAGTGGTCTGTAACTTTCTGGTCTTACTCAGTCAGATAAAAGAAAGTGAGGCCACTTTGTTTTCTTATGTATGACATCAGACCAACTGTGAGCACCACCGCTGACAATTTTGGCTCAGAGATTTCTCCCAGTATAGACTGTCATAAGTGTCCCTTGACTTCATTGGGGGTTGGACTGGAGTTGGGGGAAGGGTGGCCTGGATTCCTATGACTATATAGTCTGCAGAGCATGTATCACTCATGTAAATTGTTCTCTTTCTCTTCTGTGTGTACCTCAACCCCTTCCTTTGTTGCTAAACGCTATGCAGCGACAGTTTGATCTGGTGATTTATTTAGTCTATGTCGGGTGATGTACTGATTAGGCGAGGTGGTTGGTCTCTCTGTGTGGCGCTTTGTCGTTTCAGCCCAGGCTACCTGGTGTTTAATTCCCCATTCAGAGTCGATGAGGACTCTATGGAGTTGCAAAGCACAGCAGTGCAAACACCAACTCCACTCCACAGTTTGAACAGTAGGGATGGGTCAGCCCCCACCCGACCCATTCACATAATTGCTTGAAGACTGGGTTCAGTAAACATTGCATTGTTGAATTATAGCCCCAGGAGAGAGACCATCTTGGCTGATGGGACAATGGTGCACTGAAGTGGCTCGCCCCCTCCTCAAGCACATTGGCGCAGATGGAGTGCAGGCCGGCAGGCAAGCATTTGTTGACTCTGCAGTGAGGTGTGACTTGGGCCGGTATAGAGGTCAGAGAGGTGAGGACTCTGAACCTGACTCTGTTTCTCAGTTCAGCAGGGGTTCCTCGTGATTTATTCGCAGCACAGATTAGCTCCCACTGCACAGTTTCCTAAACCTTTCACTTTTAATTAGCGTATGCAGTTGCATGTCATGCTGCTCTTGTTTGAGTTCTCACCTCTCTCATATAGGGGTGCACGATATTGTAAAAATAATCATTGTGATTATTTTATGATATTTTACGATTGCTATATGATTCACGATTGATGGGAATGATAACTTTTGCATCACAATGTTCATCTTCACTGAAAATATGCTGATGTGACAGTTGCTGAGGTCTGTACCAAACAGAGAACAAGATTTGTTGGCCAGGGCAGCACACCAGTACTTCATTTGTATAGGTGGACGAGGGACATCCTCCTAAGCCTGACTTAAAGAAACATAGCCTATTTTACACCACTTTCCTAATTTTACTACTTTCTAGGCAGCCATAGGCTTCCATTCGTTTAACTAATGTATGCATTTAAACAGGAACACTGTGTCTGCATTCATTGTTGTAAAAGCTACATTACTGTGCCATACTGTTGTAATGCAGGTTTTTCAAACTAAAATATGCCTGAAAATATTGGTATGGTCCTTGAAGGAGCCACAATGTGGCCTCACACCCTCAGGCCAGATTTCAGTGCTCTTTTTCTGGTCTTCTTCTGGTTCCATTTGCAGCTGCAGGCAATGCCACTGTCCATTGTCTTATTATTATAATTTAATCAATGCATACTATCTCTTAACCTTAGAGATCAGAGTGATATGTGTGCTGTGATGCAAAGTAGGAATTCATGTTGCAGAGATGCATCAAAGCCTTAAAGGTGGACAAAATATATTTGGGTTTTCCCCCCACCCTCGCATTGGACACACCCTGACACACACAAACGAATGTTTTACAATAGGCCATGTTCTGCAGTTGCAGTAGCGTTGCGCTTTCATGCCCAACGTCTCGTCCGTGTCGGACAGAAGAGCCGACTCCAAACACAGCTGCACCTCAGCTGGTACAGCAGCAACGCGGTGCATGTGCTGACATGAGCATGCATACTCTTGAGAATCGCCTGTTGTAACTAGAGTCCCACTCTTTCCATTCACACCTCTTCACACATTTACATTTTGCTCCTCTGAAGCATAGGTCCGGGGATGGCTTTTGTTTCAAACCACAGTTTAAACGGACTCTAGGTATCATCCTCAGATCGGTCTGAAACTTGTCAGGCCTAGTTCCATTCTGTAATTAAATCTTCAAAGCTTTATGTTAAGTTTGAATGTACCTCATTTGGAGGGAATATATTTGAAGCCATCAAACCTCTCCGATTACCACGTCTTTTATTTTATTTTCCCTTTGATAACAGTGCATTCAACACACCTCCAAACACAGAATGACATCAAACATTTTTTGGATTTTCTTTTTTTTTTATTATCTTCAACAATACTGTAAGATCAGTGTGGAACAGTGTGGCCTAGTGATCAAAGTCATTCTTTAAAGTCCCAGTGTATAACATTTAGGAGGATCTATTGGCAGAAATATAATATAATATTCATGTATGTTTTCATTAGTGTATAGTCAACTGAATATAGTGTTGTTTAGATTAGAATTGTTTCTGTTACCTTAGAATAAGCTGTTTATATCCACAGACGCCGTGTGCTGCCTTCCATGGAGTCTGCATAGTTAAACTGCCAAACACTAGATAGGGGTGTTCTTGTTTTTTGGATGTTTCACATCCAACATAGTTTTTCCTTCATGCTCGGAAGGAGAGGGTAAGTGGTGAAGTTGCCATCTGTAACTATACTGCTAGATTGCCACTAAATCCTACACACTGGACCTTTGACTGAACAGGCCCAGTATGGGCCAATAACTGACTTACTGAAGTGCCTGCAATCAGGCAAATACAGACCATTTCTGGATTTTGCTCGATAGTGAATCTTGTAATGTGACCTCATTACTGAGAAGCATCTACTCAAGTGACTTCCTGGCAAGAATCATTAAAATGGCATTTTCCCCGTCCATGTTGTGTGATATCTAATTGTTCATATTCAGAAGTGGGGGAAAGAAATATCG